GGATGTGTTCCTGACGGAGCCACCACCTGGAACTCGGCCAACTACGAATGGATGAGAGCTGTCGCCGCACGTCTCGTCGCCTTCACATTTGCGATATTCAGAAGTGTTAGTATCCTTCCGTTCTTCTTTCTGTGCAATTTTGAGTTCACGTGTGGCATATTATGTTCATTTTTAAAATCCTACTATATATAATTCGCTAAGTATGTCTGTCTGTGTGTGTGTGTGTGTCTGTCTGTACGTACGTCCGTCTGTCACGAAATTCATAGCGCGCTTCGCTGCAGGCATGGAACGCTGTATTTTGAGTATGGTGTAGGGGGTGGGACGGCAACATATTTGGTGGGGTTTATAAAGTGATACCGACTGATAAGATCTGATAAGAGGCGCCAAAACGCCAATTTCATGATATTCATAGCGCGTGTCCCAGCAGTGGTGGGGCGTTGGTTCCAAGAAGTGATGTATAGCGTGGGACGGGAACATATTTGGTGGGGTACAGGAAGTGATAAGGGCCGATAAGGGTTGATAAGAGGCGCTGAAATGCAAATTTCATGAAATTCATAGCGCGCGTCCCAGCAGCAGTGGGGCGTTGGTTCCAAGAAGTGATGTACAGAGTGCGACGGGAACATGTACGGTGAGGTACAGGAGGTGATAAGGGCCGATAATCACGTGGGAACATATGGATCGCTTAAAACCGTGGTTCTAGATAACGCATTTCACTTCAGAATCATCTCATTGCGTTGTTGTCATCAACATAAAATACCGTTCGACCGCTATATTCCCAAAATCCCTAAGAATGTATGATGGATGTTTAGCGATATACGATATTGGGTATTTCTATTGCAAAATCATTGGCATCAATATTATTCGACCGCTAAATCATCCTGACATCCAATGCATGGTGGCTGTTTACAGACACCACTGTAGCTCCGCACTCCACCGCGCGTATCAGACGGTTGGTTAAAAATGGGCATTCTGTAGAAGGCCAGCTAACGCATTTCACGAAGAAAGTTATTGTTTAGCGGCGAACCTAACGCTCCTCCGGCTGGCCAGCTTTACGGAGCCCTTCCGTGTCATGCACGCGGTAGTGTGCGGAGCTAAACTGGTTTAATATATTTCTTATGTTTCCTATATGTACTTAAAGGCAAAATCCCATCAAATTGATGCGATAATTCCACTCGAATGTGAAAGTAGGGATAAGTGGATCGCAAGTGGAGAAAATAAAAGGAAAAAGTCGTCGAAAACACCGAAAATAGGAACCTCTTTGCTTTGAGCTGCATACAAGTCTCAGAAGAGCGAGAGAAGCGGCGAATAGCCTCAGAAGGTGGTGCAGCTCTTCACTGGCTTTATACATTGCACTTCCCGAGCTTCCACAATTTTTATTCTCAGCAGCCTTACTAAATAGCAGTCCGATTATTTCTATTGCTTTATCCAAGGACCAGAGTCAGGTACTTGTGAGCGACATCATTTTCCTTTTACATGGTCCAGGTGTGACATCCCTGGTTGAGTACCTTCGTGCCAAGCTTGCTTACTATCCTTCCGGGAACGGCTAATCAGTACCTAATTCGTCTGAAAGAATGAGAAGCAAACGTGTGCATCGCTGTTCACCTGCAAAATTACATGCAGAAGTCATTAAATTCTGCATGGTTATGGGATGCGTGGCGCACCCCAAAAAGGACTGATCGGAGAATAATGCTTTACTATTTATTTTTCGTAATATTCGGCTTTTATTTATTACTGAATGCTTCCTGGTACTGTTGATTGTCACTAGCTTATAATAAATGTGGATTATTTTTATAGTATAGTTTACTGTATTTATAATTTTTAACGTGTGACAACCTCATAAACAGTGAAGATTCTTCCTGATGACAATGCTATTTCAGTCCTCATCTTGTTCAATACCAGAGTTCGTGTGCAACCTTGGCGCATGGCTTTCGAGGTCTCCCATACTGAAAAGTTATGCGGACATCCTGAATAAGGTTGGTCTTTTTAGAAGAAGCTGATTTTACAAGAGAATTTTTATTGAATATTCTGGCAAGGTAAAGGAATACAAAGCGCGGATCTGTGCGGATAATTTTCTGCTGTTTATACCCTCTGAAAAGTTTTAAAGCAGCGCACCGGCTTAGGGTGTGGGTCAGGAAATCCCGATTATAGTGGTGCTCCATGAATACGTCAACGCGAGAGCAGAGGCGTGAATACTCCTACGCCATATGATGCCTGCTGCACGTTTCACGGTTAGTACTACCTAGGTAATTTGTAGCACCTCTCGCTCCATGACCGTAGCAGCGCCGCTGCGCCGCGATCGTGAATCTCCTGACCGACTTTCAATGCTGATCAGCTGTGGTCCAAAGACTATTACAATCTAAAAAAAAAATTCTGAAAAATCAGTCATAAATTCACAGCATGATTGCCTAATAGTACCGAATTTCAGAGCGAGGAGACAGAATCGTTGTTGAAGGTGGATGAGTGCATCAAGCATGATGCACTGCATGTATTCCGAAAGGCTATTGCGGAACCTTTGCTACAGCTTGAACTGTCTCGATCAGGTGAGATCTCTCATCAGTATACTCTTTTCCGCGTAGTTGCATATTTGGTAACAAAAATGGCATCAATTGTGCGTGCAAGCACTACGAACCCTGCAAACAGGGTACATTTCAAATGCGTCATTGAAGGCTGAGGCTAAGCGAGTGGACCACGCACAGGTAGTTAGACAAAACCAAGGAATTGAGAAAATTAGTAGGAAACTGAAAAAGTAATGAAAATTGGGAGATTTCGCCTTTATCACACCATCGCCATTTATATTAGGAATGGATTGTAGCGCTTACGTGAATTTCTTTGCCTTCCACAGTTTTTTTTTTGTAGAGCAAACGTAGACTACTGTGCGTTTCCTCACTGAAACAGTTGTTTTTCTTCGACTTTTTTCAACAAATTAGTTCAGGGCAGTCTGGTGATAGTCGTCGATGGCACCGATGAGGCAGAATTTCATCGAAGCGAGGATGGAAGGTCGATAGGTAGGTTAGTCTGGTTCCTGTTATAATTTCTACCCTTACTATGAGATGGTCGGAAGTGGTGCAGTGGAAAATGGCGCTGTGTACCGCGCAGTCCGGAGATCGAATCTCAGTCCTATGTCGGGCAAACCAATCCAAACCTTCCGGGGATCGGGTGAGTGACGAGCCGAGAGTGCTGATAGAGAAGAAAACAACAAATATGCGCATTGCGGGCCCCTGCAACATTGTATGCGCGCCAAAATCGCGTCAAATTCAACACAAATCTTCATTGCAAGGGAAAGGGCAGCACATCCCAAATGAGTGATAGTTCGACTCTAACTTTTCATCATGTTATTTATTCCTTTTATTTGTTTATGTACGAATCATATAATGTTCTGTTATAGTATTTAAAGTGATATTTTTAGGAACATTTATTTGCACCTTGATACCACATCTTCCTCCATGGGTTCGTTTCGTCGTCTCATGTAATGCAGAAAACTCGAGTAATCTACGATGATGTTATGACGCGAAGGATCAGAATAGGTCAGAATTTTAGCTGTTTTCGGTTTTTGGAGTTGACCATGGGTCGCAAAAATCAGATAAAGTATAGGTAAGTATACTTTTGATTTTTACAGTCGTAAAAGTTGTCATATTTCACTACGCGTTTGATTATTTCTGTCCCCCGCTCGCTGCGCCTTCCAAACCCTTACCAGTGATGTTACAGGTTAGAATTTGGGGCATTGCCACTTTGTAACCCTGTTCTCAGAAGGCTACTACACTTAGAAGCTGGACCGGTGAGTAATTCAGCTGATATTGATTAGCCATCAAAAATACGCCACGTTTTCGCTGTCTTCATCTTTCGTAAAATTGTGTCTCAAAGACCAGGATACTTGATGTATAATTATGTGTCATTAAACTAGCTGCGTATATATTGATTTATCAAGTATTTATTCTTACGTTTCAACGATTTTTCGCTGGCATGAGGCGATTGTGCAGCTCAGAAGTCCGTTGTGAGTATCGGTTGGTCATGGAGCCTGAGCGTGCAATTTACTATTTCATCGGATCTTTTCATTTTCATTCTCTTTCAATCTTCTTGCTCAGCTTGTACATGAATACATCCTCATCCTATGTCACTACACACTTCAAATAAGTATGCCAACGTTTACCAGCATGATATTGATATTTGATATTGATATTTATCATCGGAATCCAAAATTCCAGAAACAAAACATTACGATTGAGTAGAAACATATCTCCGATAAAAGTACAATACGACCGAATGGGGCGCCAAAAAATGGGAACTGCTAGAACAGGGAGCGGAAAGCCAGCGCCGAAGGGCAGTGGCCGCCAACACTGCAAGCTCATGCCATGCCATGAAAGTGGAGCTCCGGATACCAACTCAGTAGGTCCGCCAACCTTGCCGGAATCCGCTCCGTAGCAGAAGTTCCAGTGAGGGTAGGGAAAAACAACTAATTCAGCTTAATGTAAGCAATGAAGTCAAACAAAAGTGTATAGAAACAAACAGTAACATGAAAAAACTATAAAAATACAAAGAATGCAGTGCATTTAATAACTGGATAGAATAAGATCGCTTCTGTGCCTTAACAGATTAGGAGTGTTTAGTTTCATGTCCTCAGAACCAACCTTTGGAAATCATGATTTTTCTAACTTTTTTCCTGAACGAGCTGGGAGAGCTCGAATTTACGACAGAGGGTGGCAAGTCATTCCAAAAGGTGATAATCCTCTGAGTGAATGAGCTTCGAAATTCAGTGGTATTGGTTTTCTCTCTCAGGAGTCTGTAGTTATGACCCCGTGTGCGCCCTATTGTTGTTGACTTTTTGAAAAGAGCATCAAAATCCAAATCTACAAGGCCGGCAGAAATTTTATAAACAAAATCATAATCGTATAGCTTTCTTCTCATTTCTAGAGAGTCTTCGTTAAGGTATATCAGTCTATCTTTATACGACATGTGAAAAATTCCCTCACGAGCAAAAATTCGTTCAGTAAATTTAGACTGAACTTGCTCAATGAGCTCAACCATGTTTTACGCCGTCTGAAGCCTCCGAGACCGTTGTTGCCGTTGCCATCATGAAATCCAAAGCAACGGTCTCTACTGTGATTATGGTCCTTATCCCACAGAATTGTGCAATACTATCGGTTTTTGGTAAAACGCTGCAGATGAAACTGGCCACACACACCAGACTGCTGAAGCAATGGAACTTGCTAAAGCAGTTTACTTGACGCATTTTCTCCAGTCCGCGTTTTCTCGTTCCTATTGTTACGCGAATTTCGCGCTTGCGTCCAATGCACAAATATGGTGATCCAGCATAATCGTAGAATGCAAAATGGACCTAACCCGCTTTGTTCCTCCTATTGTGCTCTTTCAGCTTATGGAGACCACGGTATAAGGGAGAGAGTTTCAATAAGAATGTTTGTTTCATGAACAAGGCGTGGGTGGGGGTGATATTCAGATAGAAGTACGATTCGAGCGTGCGCCTCGCTGGTTTCTGTGTGTGCCTAGCCATCACGCTCACTGAGCAATCCGGGCATTGCAATGGAACGCTTTTTGGGTACTTGAATGAGAGCCTAGGTCAAAGGTCCTATACCAGTAAGTTAGGAAATGATGTCATGTGCCGTTCAAGTATGCCTAGCGCGTATTGTCATGCCCCCCCCCCCTTGACCGCCTGCTTCCACTTATACATCCATACTATGCTTTCACGCGAGGGCAGTTGTGCCTGCGTCTGCTCATCCGCCTCATATTCTGCTCCGTGACTCTGCACTTTCGGGTCTTTGTCGCTCAGTGTCTCTCAACCCTAGTCTGTCTACATCAACTACTTCATGCACTGTCCACTGTAACCTCCCTTCAAAAAAGCGAGAAAGTGTCGGGTGCAGACCAAACACCACAACTGACGACGGCCTCCAAGTAAATCTGGTTAGAAGTTGTTCATAGTGATAGCTGATTTCTGTAAATGATAGCTGTAATTAGTGACAATCGATAGAGAACAACTGCAACATTTTCGTGCTGAAACACATGACATGTGTGTGAGCCATCGCTATTTGTTGGTGCATGGTCTGCCCACCCCGACACTTTCTCCTTTCTTGAAAGGGAGGTTATCGTAGCTTTCCATGTTTTCGCTTCCTTTCTCTTGATCGCTCATCCATTTACATCGCGCATTCTTTTTGAGCGGATTGACCTCTACTCGTTGAAAAATGCCTTTATACGGAGTGCATCTGCCAAAGAACTTTGTTAGGCAATACGTAACCCCTCCGCCTCAGTAACACCTTAGGTTTGCAGGCCGTCAATTGGCGTTTTGAAGTACCGATTTCAGAAAGGTTCAGCTGGCTAAAATTTATACAGCCGGACACACTCTTCGATTTAACCATAGCATCTCTATTCTCTCCATAGATCATATGTATTTTCCACGAGTATTATATTGTCTTGTCAGTAGACGTTATTTAGCTGGACAATCACCTACTGTCGAATCCTCGTCGATCAATCATCGATCCTTTTGGAGATTTAGTCGATCGAATAGTGTATGCCGCGAACGGAAATGTGCTCTACATTCGCTTATTGCTCCGGTGAGTCACATCGATTCTTCAGTTTCAGCTCCTCAAAACATGCGTGTTCAAAGAAGTGATGAAGAAGATGAAGGATGTCACGGAAGCGTGATTCAGTTCCCATGAAACGATGACGAGTATTCGCTTCTGAATTTATTCACAGTCAGGAACACAGCGGAGATTCCGTTAAGACAGTAGGATCACGCAGTAAAAGTGGCGGGATCCACAAAGGTGGTCTATAAGCGGCCTTATAAATTGGGGCGTTTCTTGAATTGGTGAACAGGAGGTAAAAAAGGAATTCGTCAAACAAATCAGGTATCGCAACAGTCTTACAACTCGGCTAAGGATTTGGTATGTTTCTAGCGGGGCCAATCGTCATGTTCGCACTTCTTCAGAAATTTTACGAACCCCACCACCACCATCAGTCTTATGGTTAGAAGGCTCCCCCAACACGATTCATCTTCCCCCTTCTCCGATCACTACCCTAACCATCATCCTGAGACCGGTCGACACAGCCCAACTCCGCCCACTTTCTCCTCCGAAATGGCTGTCAAGAGGGGAGAGGAGGGGTAAATTGGTATCATGAAGCGGCAAATCCACCAATTTTGCCTAATTCTCACTACTTTCGTAAAACTTTCACCAAATTCGTCAAAAACCGTCCAAACACAACCCCTTTAACGACCTCCGTCAACCTCCGTTCCCACTATGATAACCTTGCTCAACCCCAAAATGCGACCCCCTGGATCCCCTTCCCGAAATCACAAATGCGACCTTCTTGTTCGAATGGTGCGAACAGGCGGTTGATCCACTTTTGAAGTGCTTTTATGAAACCCTGTCGCTTCACAAACTATGCCTTTATGTGGTGCCTTCTCTTAGTATAAACTGTATACGTGTTGGTTCTTAGCTTATCTCTTCATTTCAGACTTGTCGAAACGGGCAGATTACCCTTGAGATATTTGTTGCAAACGAATTTACCCGCAGACGATCTCGATCTCTATGGATTAATTATGGAGCTGACGTTCACGTAAGTATTATTTCTCCTGAACAGTTTGTTAGTCAGTAGCCCGAGAGGAACAATTCGCATGCCACACCCTCTTAACTTGATCCTTTGCTAATGCTTTTACATTGGCGTGATACTTCCGGAGGTCAACTGGGACAGCGTGGTACCCTACAGCATCACACCCTTTTATTCATTTCTTTCCATCATCGTCCCCAAATATAAATATAATTGTCTTAATGAAATACAGCTCGATGGAATCGCTAGGGAATCGAGAAGCTCTCAAAATTTTCAATTGCCAGCGGCTAAAGTAACGTAGACGCCCACTTTTTTGTTAACAACGGGCAGCTCGGCCGTTTCGAGTCTGCTTACGAGGAATGCTCAACTGGTCAGTCCGGCCATTTATAATGAGATGTAGTCCATGGACGCGTCTTGCGACGCCTGAGCTCAAATCCGTTTTCGTTATCTGCGGAACGATTCTCTGAAAGAGAAGTTACGAAGAGGATCTTCTACGAGTTCCGTGGCATTTTTAACTGGTGGCAATCCTCTTCATTCTCCACCCCGCACGGTTCCGACTAAGAGAAGTTAGAGATAATGTTTCTGATTGGCCCAGTGGCCTAGTCTGGTATTTCATCAGACTCACATGACAGCGGTTCAACATTGATCGGACCTTAGGGGGCCGAAATTTTGCATTTTTTCATGGTTTCTCATGCGAGCCAAAAAGTGTCTATATTTGGTTATTTTGTTGATTTGCGTCCCCACTTGACATGTGGCTGAGACAGACTTTGGAATTTTCCTCTCGTCCGTCTTTTTAGGTTTTCTATTATGATGAACTTTGACACACGGGACAAAACACAAGGACACAGGCTCGTAAATATACAAAATTTCAATAATTCGTGAGCATATGTGATAGTTCTTCACATGGTGATCAAAACAAAACAGCTTTTCGCAGTTGCACAGGAAATAAAGAAAGAGCTAGGGGTGATGTAGAGGGTGCCACAGTGGGAAAGCCACAAAGAGAAAATCCCTCGTAACTTCTTTCAGAGAATCGTTCCGCAGATAACGAAAACGGATTTGAGCTCAGCGTCGCAAGACGCGTCCATTGGACTACATCTCATTTTAAAACGGCCGGACTGACCAATTGACCATTCCTCGTTAGACTAGGTATTTCAACGGACAAACTAAGTTCATTCAAGAAAGCCTTAGAAAAGTACCTTGCATCCTAACACTCTTTGTTATGTCCTTCCGTTTTTTTTTTTTCTTTTCTTTCACTCTTGTAGCTCCTAGTTAACTATAGATTGCCTAGGAACTGTTCCTCTTGTTTGTTACCTCTGGGTTTTTATGCTTTTCGTTATTTTAGCATGGGTGTTAACCTGTGCAATAAACAATTACAATTACAATTAGATGAGCGTGTGTAACGTACATTGCTCGGTCGAAGGATCTATCGGTCACCTCATACCCAACGACGATATGCCGCGCGCAGCGCACGTTGGCGAGTAGCGTCTCCTAATCGATAAACATTTCATAGTTGTGTAGGTTCCAGCTTCTTCCGTGATAAGTGATAACACTAGCACACCATTCCCTTGAAACCGTTCACCCTCAACGTTCAACTATTTGATGGATACGGATCGAGAATGCGCAGCTCGATCGCTTTATATGCACCTCCATCATGTCCACAGCTCCCTATTGGGCAGACGCGCATCTACCACCGAGATCGGCGTTGCGCGGTTCTAAATTCTTTGTTTTCTTGATTCTAAGTGTTGGTTCAGTCGAAGTTGGGAGAAACTTCACAGTTAGCCTACAAATTCTGACACTAGTCAACTTTTCTTTGCAAACAAGTTCCAGAGCTCGTACCCGCTGCTAATGTGACCGTTTCTCCTAGCTCATTTGATTTCAGATCACCAGCGACATTTGCCCGAGTTGCGCCAGTCCTAGACGTGTTTTTGGCGTCACTCCGACCACTTGATCGGAACACGCTCCTGTCAGTGTTCAACTCTCCAAAATCAGATGTACCAATGATGGACATGCAGCTGGATGAAATGTGAGCGTGCTATGGATTTCCCTTCTTTTTATTAAGGCGGACCACTTTTCGGCTCATTTTACGTGGCAGATCATGTGGCAAGGGTGGAGGCGGTGTGATTTTGGTGACGTCATTGAACGTATTGGTGGATTAGATCCCTCATCGGTGGGGTGTGTGTGGTTCGGACCGCCTTTTACCGCCCTTCCACCTGAAGATCAAGGACGTCATTGAAACGCACCGCCTCCTGCCAACGTGATCCCTGCCTTTAAATCCATTCTCATAAGTATTGTGAAATCCAATTCAACTTTTCAGCTTGGCAATTTTGACACCGCTGCTGTCGTTTGCCGGCAATGGTTTCATAGCTCCTTCATGATACTGCTTTACGAGAATGGCTTCTGAAAAACGCCACTCATCCGAAATTCCCCTCAGATGCCAGGTATCTTCTTGAGCTTATTTTACCGCTGTTTTGACCATGTGATGATAAAATTGATTTATTATTCTACTTGATTAGTTATCTAGCGGGTTTTCTTTCTTGTACCCATCAGGAACAGACTTAGCTCCCAGTTGGGCCAAGTTCAAGGGATGTGTTACACGTATTTATAATTTCTGGAGGGAGTTAGAGTCGTTTTTGGTGGATCAATGTTTTAGTTGCGATTAGAGAAGAACGTTTCTGGGGTAGTGAGAGCCCTTTCAATTGGAGGCCTCTTCCTTCCCCACCCTCTTTCGTTGACAAACTTTATAATGGGAAGTTCTAAGGTGGCTTTGATCAATTCCGTGATGTTAATATTTTTCCTTTGCTTCTTTTATCATTGATAATCTATCAAGGTTTCGCATTACTTCTTTACCATTCAGGCACGGTCACATCCTCTTTGCCTTACATCTGACCCATCAAGCACCGTTGAGCTCTGTTCAACTGTTTGAGTTAGCTCATCATCTTCTCAAAGCACATCCGTACAAATATATGCATGGAAAATATATGCCTGAGGTTCGTGACCTTTTCTTTTGATTTTTTTCACATTATGACTCTTAAAGTACTGAGTTGTGATGGTTAGGACTACATCTGCTCCACGATATATTTAGTTCACTTCTTTGAAAGATGGTCAAATCGATTGGATAAAGCAATGCTCGGAGGACATTCGAAAGGCACTGTTCAACCATCGGAATATGTTTTTCCCTAATACAAAGGCAAGTGATCATAAATGTTTTTATAGTAGTTTTTTGGGATGATGTTGTGTTTTGGGATTGGTTAGCACAGAACTAGCGGTATGTGGTCAAGGGCAGGATGAGTAACGTCGAGGAAATCCTCGACCATAATTCTGTACTGTGTGAGAATAGTGTCGAGAGTGAATGTACGCGCGGAGAGCACAGACGGCTCGCGGTGGCGAGTGAATGTCCGCGCGAGAGAGCGTATCTGAACAGGCGGAAGCCCTCGACGAGTCGTTGACGAATCCTCGACCGAAGGTGCCTTAGAGGAAATGTGCGTGCGATAATTTGGATGTGCATCAGGAGTGGAGATATCATACATAGCCCCGAGCAACAGTAGCCAGGCAGCTAAAAAGACTGTGTGATGTCTCCCCGGCGACATATGCGCTGATACGTAACATAAAGCTTTTTGGCTTTTCTCCGAAAATTAGTCCCTTCCCCACTCCCTCTCAGTGGGTTATTGACACCAGTTGTTAGGTCTATGTCGAATGCGTTCAAAGGCACATTCTACCACTAACCTACGTACATGCATGAGGTCATTTCTGTGTGGAATGAAGCTGTTCATGCAGCTAGAAAACGTGCTTTCACCGCACATTTTGCAGCCAGTACGACCTTTCCTTGGAACGCCGATTGCGACACTCCGACGAGGTATTCCTGGCTCGTTTTCTAACAAGTGATAGCAGATGAGTGCTGCGGTGACCGGCCGGAACAAGAAAGACGCATGGCTGAGCACTCCAGGACGAGGAAATTTATTCACGAACAGAGAGAAAAGCTGCGCTGCAAGCGGCAATGAAAAACGGCTATTTTTTGTAGCGTGCGGCGAGCGTTAGATTGGCGCGGTAGTACTAAATAACGCCCTTCAGAGGTTTAGGTGAACTTGCAGAAGGATGCTCCGAGTTACGGGCTGCGAGAATGTCCACTGATTATGCTGCCGACACGCCCACTCCTTAGTGATTGGATGCACGCCCATTGGTAAGTGTCGGTCCGCGCGAGCCAGCCAATCACAGAGGAATGGATGTGTTGGCGCTGTCAACATTCCTAC